TGAACAGAGGCCTAACTCATTGTCTTCCTTTAGTAGAAAGAGACACTATGGTACAAAATCTTCCAAAGTATTCTTTCATGTAAAAAGTGTGGGGAAGTTAAGACATCTGTATATGGTGTAGTGCAGAGTGGCAGAAGACTGTTTTGTGAATATGAAAATGAGGATGAATCTAACCATCTATTTTGTGTAAAAATTGCATTTCTCCAAGAATGAACAGTAATGAACTCTTCCAATGCTAGTAATTCAAACTGAAATGTGACTCCCTTGAACAAATCAGGTTTAATTAAACATCTTGCACTGAGTTCATAACATTACTCAATGTATTTCTATCAGTAGAAGTTGAAATATCTGGCGTCCAGAGTAATACATACTGTTTTAATCCTTCTGTAGTGATGTTGCTCTGAAATGCTACTTTTGCAGTAATTTTCATAAGAAATAGATTCTAAGATCAAGTTTGTGTTACAATTGCATGAACAGAGGCCTAACTCATTGAACTCCTTAAGTACAAAGAAACTCTAAGATACAGAATGCTGCAAAGTGAAGTTTTATGTAAAAAATATAGGAAAGTTAAGACATCTGAGTACTGAGTAGAGCGCACTGCCAAAAGAACGGTTTTGTTAATATGAAACTGAGTATAAATCTGTCTTTTTTCTGTAAAAAGTGCATTTCTCTCAGAATGAACAGTGCTTAACTCTTTCAATCACACATAAATCATGCATAAATTGGACTCTTTTGAGTACAACAGTTTACATAAAACCGCTTATACAGAATTTATAACATTACTCAATGTATTTCTTGCAGTAGAAGTTGAAATGTATGGTGTCTCCAGTAATACATACTGTTTTAACAGTTCTGTACTAGTATTGCTCTGAAATGCCACTATTGTCGTAATTTACATAAGGGAAGAGCTTCTAAGATCAACTTTCTGTTACAATTGAGAGCACAAACACATAACAGGAGGTGATGTTTTCGTACAATAAACATGTTTATTACAGATTCATCCAAACTAGCCCTCTGTAAAAAAAAAAATATGAAAGAAAAAACACGTGTGTACGGAGCAGTATCTAACTAAGAGAAGATGGTTTTATGAATGTGAAACAGAGGATGAAACTAACAGTCATTTTATGTAAGCAGGGATAAGGATGGGGTTAGGGTTATTGTTAGGGTTTGGGATAAGGTTAGGGTTAGGGTTAGGGTTTGCATTAGGTATAGGGTTAGGGTGAGGATTGGGGTTAGGGAAAAGTTACAGTTAAGGTTAGGGTTAGATTTAGTTTAGGGTTAGGATTAGTGTAAGAAAAATACAGGTTTAAGAAAGTAACTTCTTCAATGTTTATAGGGCTCAGTCAATGTTTTCCCTATTGTAGAAGTGAAGTCAATGTTGTCTCCAGTAATACATACTGTTTTAACACTTCTGTACAAGTATTGTTGTAAAATGCCACTTTTGAAGTGATTTTGTTAAAAAGAGATTTTGAGAACAACTTTCTCTTACAATTGAGAGCACAGACACAGAATACTAAGTCATGTTTAAGTAGAATAAACATCTTCAGTACATATTCATGCAAAGTACTGTTTCCTGTAAATAAATAGGGAAGTTAAGAAAAGTGTGTATGGATCAGTACCTGACTTTGAGGTGATGGTTTTGTGAATGTGAAACTTTGTATGAAACTAACCATCCATTTTCTGTAAAAAGTGAATTTCTCTCAGAAGGAAGAGTAATTTTCATTAAGAAGTAGCTTCTAATATCAAGTTTCTGTAACAACTGCATAAACAGAGGCCTAACTCATTGAATTCCTTAAGTAGAAAGAAACTCTAAGGTACAAAATGCTGCAGATTACCCTTTCATGTAAAAAATATAGGGAAGTTAAGACATCTGAGTACTGAGTAGTACACACTGCCAGAAGACGGTTTTGTGAATATGACTGAGAATGAATCTAAATGTCTATATTCTGTGAAAACTGCATTTCCCTCAGAAAGCACGGTAATGAACTCTTTCACTGCTACAACATCACGCTGAAATGGGACTCCCTCAAACAAAACAGGTTTGATTAAACAACTTGTACAGAGTTTATAAGTTTACTCCATGTATTTCTTTCAGCAGAAGTTGAAATGTTAGGCATCTCCAGTAATACATACTGTTCTAACACTCTGTACTAATGTTGCTTTTAAATGCCACTTTTGTAGTAAGTTTCATAAAAAAATAGATTCTTATATCAAGTTTCTGTTACAACTGCGTGAACAGAGGCCTAATTCAATCAATTCCTTAAGTAGAAAAAAACTCTAAGGTACAAAATTCTGCAAAGTACCCTTTCATGTAAAAAGTATAGGGAAGTTAAGACATCTGGGTACTGAGTAGTACAGATTATCAGAAGATGGTTTTGTCAATATGAAACTGAATATAAATCTATCCATCCATTTTCTGTGAAAAGTGCATTTCTCACAGAATGAACAGTAATTAACTCTTCCTACACTACTAAATCACGCTGAAATGTGAGTCCCTTGAAGAAAACAGGCTTAATTAAACATCTTGTAGAGAGTTGATAACACTACTCTATGTGTTTTTTTTCAGTAGAAGTTGAAATGCTAGGTGTCTCTGGTATAATATATTGTTTTAACACTTCTGTAGTAATGATGCTCTGAAATGCCACTTTTGTAGTAATTTTCATAAAGAAATAGCTTCTAATATCAATTTTGTGTTACAATTGCATGAACAGAGGCCTAACTCAATCAATTCCTTAAGTAGGAAGAAACTCTAAAGTGCAAAATTCCGCAAAGTGCTCTGTCATGTAAAAATTATGGGGAAGTTAAGACATCTGTGTACTGAGAAGTACAGATAGGCAGAAAATGGTTTTCTGATTATGAAACTGAGTATGAAACTAACCATCCTTTTGCTGTGAAAAGTGCATTTCCCTCAGAATGATATGTCACATAACCCTAGTCCTAGCCCTAGTGCAAGCTCTAGCCCTAACTGAAACACTTACCCTAACACTCACCCTTGATCTAGCCATATCCCTAACCCTTATACTAAGCATAGCCCTAGGCATTAACCATACCCTAGCCTGATCCCTAACACTTAACTTAAAACTAACCTTGGCCCTAACACTAACCCAAGCCCTACCCACAACCCAAACCCTAACCAGAGCCTTAGCCCTAAACTTAACCATAGCCCGAACACTAACCATAAACCAAAGCCTATCTTAGGGCTAACCATAGGCCTAAACTTAACTCCAACTCTAACCCTAACCCTAGCCCTAGACCTAGCCCTAACACTAACCCTAACCCTAACACCAACCCCAAACCTAACCCCAACCACAACCCTAACCCTAACTCTAACCCTAGCCCTAGCCCTAAACCTAACCCTAGGCCTAGCCCTAATGCTAACACCAACCCTATCTCTAGACCTAACACTAACCCTAACCCTAGACCTAGCCATAACCCTATCCCTAATGCTAGCCCTAATCCTAACCCAACCCTAACCATAACCCTAACCCTAACTCTAACCCTATCCCTAGCCCTAGTCCTAATTCTAACCCTAGCCCTAGCTCTAACCCTCATCTGAGTTCTAAACCTACCCTCACCCTAAACCTAAACCTAATGCTTACCCTAACCCTAACCCTAGCTCAAAACCTAGCAGTAGCCCTAGTCCTCGCCCTGGCCCTAACCCTTGCACTAGCACTTGTCCTAGCCCTAAACCTAACCCTAACCCTAATCTCAATCCCAAACCCACCCCAAAATCTAACCCTAACACTAACCCTAAGCCTAACCTAGCCCTAGTCCTAGCCCTAGCCCTTGCCCTAACCCTAACCATAGACCTAACCCCAAACCTCCCCCTACCCCTAGCACTAACACTAAATTTAACCTTAAACTTAACCCAAGCTCTAACCCTAACACTAACCGTAATCACAATCCCAAACCCAGCCTGAAACCTAACCCTAACATGAACCCTAAACCTAACCCTACCCCTAGTCCTTGCCCTAGCCCTAACCTTAATCCGAACTCGAACCATAACCCCAAAATCAACCCATATCCTAAACCTTGACCAGGCCTAATGGTAAACATAGCCCTAAACTAACTCTAACTCTAGCCCTTTCCAAAAACCTATCCCTAACTCTAGCCCTAACCCTAATCTTAACCCTAATCCTAACTTGAGCCCTAACACTAACCCTAATTCTAACCCTAGCCCTTGCCATAGGACTCTACATAACTCTAATCCTAACTCTAACTGTAACCATACCCCTAACACAAACCATAAGCCTAACCCTAATCTAACCTTAACACTAGCCACAACCCTGACCATGAACCAAAACTTGACCCAGACCATAAAAATAACACCAACCTTACCCAAGCCCTAGCCCTAACTGTGACACTAGTCCTAACCCTAATGCAAACCAGAACACTAACACTAACCCTAAACCTGGCCTTAACCCTAACCATAACCCTAACCCGAACACTAGCCCTAACACTAACCTTAGCCATAACCCCATCCCTAGCCCTAACCTAACCCAAACCCTAACCTTAACTCTAGCCCTAACTCTGACCCTGATCCTACTGTAAACCTAACCCTAACCCTAAAAATAACCACAACCAAAACCTCAAATAAAAACTCTACCTCATCCGCAACCCCAAACGCAACCCTAACCATAGCCTTAGACCTAATCCTAACACTAACCCTATATGTAACCCTAAACCTAACCCTAGCCCTATCACTAGCCCTAACCCTAACACCAAACCCAACCCCAATTTCAACCCTAATCCTAGCCCTAAGCTTTATCCTTACTCTAATCTAACCCTAATGCTACCTCCAACCATGACCCTGACACTCATCCTGACCCTGACCCTAATTGTAATGCTAACCATAATGCAAGCACTAGGCCTAACACAAACCAGCCCTAGCCCTAACTGTAACAGGAACCTGACCATAAACCTAACACCAAACCTAAACCTAATTGTAGACCTAACCCTAACCCTAGCTTTAACCCTAACACTAACCCTAAACCTAACAGCTGCCCTAATCCTAACCCTAGCTGTAACCTTAATCTTAGACCTAACCATAGCACTAATCTGAGCCATAGCTCTAGCCCTAACACTCACCGAAATCCTAAACCCAACATTAACTCCAACACCAACCCCAAACCCAACCCTAACCCTAACCCAAACCATAGCTCTGGTACTAACCTTAGCCCTAAACCTAGCACTATCCGCAACCCTAACCCTAACACTAGCCTTATCACTAACCTTAACCATAACCCTAACCCACACCCTAGCCTTAAACCTAATCCTAGCCCTACCCCTTACCCTACCCCTGACCCTAAACATAACACTAACCTTAAACTCAACCCAAAACCTAACACTAACACTAGCTCTAGCCCTATCCCTAACCATAATCATAACCCTAGCACTAGCCCTGTCCTTAAGCCCAGCCCTAGCCCTAGCTCTAGCTATAATTCTAATCCAAACACTAACCCTAAACCTACCCGTAATGCTAACCCTAACACTAACACTAACCCTAGCGCTAACCCTAAAGCTTACCCTAACCATAACACTAATACTAAACATAAGCCTAACACTAGCCCTAAACCTAACCCTAAACCTAGCTGTAGCCGTAATCCAAACCGTAATCCTAATCCCAGCCTCAATCTCCACGCCAACTCCAACCCCAACCATAACCCTAATCCTAAACCTAGCCGTACCCCTAACACTAACCCTAAACCTAGGCCTAACACTAACCCTAACCCTAGACACGGCCATAAATCTATCCCAAACTCTAACCCAAACCTTAACCATAGTCCTAACCCTAACTCTAACCATATATCTAACCCTGGCCATAAATCTAGCCCTAGCCCTAACCCTAACCCTAATCATACACCTAATACTAAGACTGGCCCTAACCCTAAACCTAATCCTTACCCAAACACTAACCCTGGAAATAAACCCAGCAGTATCCCCTGCATATGCCCTTGCCCTAACCCTAGCACTAGCACTAGTCCTAGCCCTAATGCTAATCCATAGCCTAAACTGAATCCTAACCCTAAATGTTACCCTAAACCTAGCCCTAGCCCTAACCATAACCCTCACCCTAACCCTAACCCTAGCACTAGCCCTAACTCTAACCCTAACCCTAAACCTAACCTAGCCCAAACCTAGCCCTTACTCTAAACCTAGCCCTAGCCCTAGCCCTAACCTTAACCCTAACGCTAACTCTAGCCCTAGTCCTAACCCTATCCCTGGCCATAATGCTAACCCTAAACCTATCATTGGCCCTATCACTAACCCTAGCCTGAAGCCTAACCCTAACCCAACCTTAACCCTAACCCTAGCCCTAGCACTAAACCTACTCCTGGGCTTTGCCCGATCCTGAACCCTAGCCCTAGACCTAACCCAAATCCTAACATTAATCATAACCCCAACTCCAAACCAATACTAAATCTAACCCTAACTTAGCCCTATCCTAAACCCTAACTCTAAACCTAGACGTAAGCTTAACCCTAACCCTAACTTAAACCCTTTCCCTAACCTTGAACTGAACCCAAACCTAATCCCTAGTCCTAACTTTCACCCTAATCCTAACCCTAGTCCTTACCCTAACCCTACACCTAACCCTAACCGCTAACCCTAAGCCTAACCATAAGGCTACCCCTAAGCCTTACTCTAACCTTAGCCCTAGCCTTAACCCTAACCCTAACCCTAATGCTAACCTTAACCATAACCCAACACCATCACCAACCCCAAACCCAAACCCAACTCTAACCCTAACACCAAAACTCACAGTAACTCTAGCCCTAACCTAACCATAGCCTTAGCCCTAGCTCTAGCCCTAGCCCTATCCCTGACCCTGACCCTTACTCTAAGGCTATCCCTAATCCTAACCCTAGCCATAGCCCTAACTCCAACCTCACCCTAACCCTAAACCTTATGCATACACTAGCCTTAGCCCTATCAGTAACCTTAACACTTACACTAACCCCACACATAACCCTAGCCCTAAATCTAGACTAACACTAATCCTTACCCTAACCCCAACCACAACACCATTCCCAATACCAAACTTAACCTGACACCCAACCCTACCCTTAACCCTAGCCCTAGTCCTAGTCCTAGCCCTAACCCTAAACTTAAAATCAGCACTACCCCTAACGCTAAACCTAACACTAACCCGCACCCTAAACTTAAACATCACCCTAGCCCTAGAATTAACTCCGACACTTACCCTGGTCCCAAGCAAACCCCAAACTTAAACCAGCCCCAAACCCAACCCTAACCCTAACCCTAGCCCTAACCATAACCATAACCCTTCCCCTATACTTTATCCCTAACCCTAACCTTAACCCTAAACCTAGCCCTAGGCCTAGCCCTAGCCCTAACCCTAAACTTAACCCTAAACTTAGCCCAAGCATTAGTCCGAGCCAAAACCTATCACTAATCCTACTTCTACCATTAATTCTAATCCTAACATTAAGTCTAGTCCTAGCCCTAATCCTAATTGTAACCCTAACCCTAACCCTAAAACTATACCTAGCCCAAACTCTAGTAATAGCCCTAACACTAATCCTAACCCCGCCCTATCCCCAATTCTAACCCTAACACTAGCCATAGCATTAACCCTAACCCTAGTCCTAACCCGAGCCCTAGCCCTAGAACTATCCCTAACCCTAGCCCCAACCCTAACCCTGGCCGTAATCCTAGCTGAAACCCTAGCCCTAACCATAACACTAACCCTAGCCCTAACACTAACCCTAGCAGTAACCCTCATCCTAACGTTAGACCTAGACCTAACTATAACCCTAACCTAAACCTAATGCTTACTCTAACCATTAGCCCTAACCCTAACACTAACCCTAACACTAACATAAAACCTAGCCATAACCCTAACCCTACACCTAACCCTAACCCTAAACTTAACACTAACCTTAGCACTAACCCTAAACCTAGACCTAACCCTAACCCTAAACCTAACGCTAACACTAACCCTAACCCTAAAATGAACCATAGCCCTTGCCCTAAACCTAGCCCTACCCCTAGCCCTAGATGTAGCCCTAACCCTCACCCTAACTGTAGCCCTGACCTTAAACCTAAACCTAACCATAAACTTTAACCTAACCCCAAACACAACACCAACCCGAACCCCACCACTCACTCTAAAACCTAGCCCTAGCCATAGCCCTAACCCTAACGCTAGCCCTAAACCTAAACCTAACCCTAACTCTAGCCCTAAACTTAACCCTAGCCCCAGACCTAACCATAACCCTTAACCCTTAACCTAACCCTGAATGTAGCCCTAGCCCTAACCCTAACCCTAACACTGACCCTGACCCTGACACTGACCCTGACACTGACCCTGATCCTAATGCTAGGGTTACCTAGCATAACCATAAACCTACCCTAGCCCTAACCCGAATCCTACCCCTAACTCTATTCCTAACCATAATCCTAACCCTAAACGTAAACCTTACATACTCCTAGCACTAGCTGAAGCCCTAACCCTAACCCTAACACTAACCGTACACCTAGCTCTAACCCTAACCTAAAACTAGCCCTAGCCTTGCCATAGCCATAGACATAACCCTAACACTAACCCTAACCCTAACCATAGCCTCACCCTTAACACTTGCCCTAACCCTAACACTAACCAATAACCCTAAGCCTAACCCTGTCCCTAATCCTAGCCATAACCCTAGCATTAGCCTTAGCCCTAACCCTAACACTAACCCTAACTTTAACCGTAAGCTAGCTCTCACCCTAACCCTAGCTCTAATCCTAAACCTAGCTTTAACCCTAACCTTAACCCTACCCTCACTCTAGCCATAACACTAACCCTAACAACACCATCCCCAAACCCAACCATAACCATAACCCTAGACCTAACCTAACCTTAACCCTAACCCTAAACCTAAACAGAACCCTAGCCCTATCACTAACCCTGACCCTAAAACTAACCCTAACCCTAAACCTAACTCTAATCCCAGCCCAACCCCAAATCCAAACCCAAACCCAACTCTAATACAAACTCTAACACTACCACTAGTTCTAATCCTAATCCTAAACCTAATCCTAAACCTAAACCTAACCCTAGACATACCCCTAGCACTAACACTACCCCTAAAACTAACCAAACCCTACACCTGGCCCTTACCATAACACTAACTCTAACCCTAAACCTAACCATTAAACCTAAGCCTAACCATAACCCTAACCATTACTCTAAACCTAGCCCAAGTCCTAGCTCTAGCCTGAACCCTAACCCTAGTTATAACCCTAGAAGTAGCCCTACCCTTGGTCCTAGCCCTAGCCCTAACCCCCCAAAAAAACCTAACCCTAACTCTAGGCCTAACCCTAGCCCTAAACCTAACTCTAGCCCTAGCATAAACTTAACCCTAACCGGAACCCTAACAAACCCCAACCCCAAATCTAAACCTAAACCTAACCTTAGCCCTTGCACTAACCCTAACCCTAACCAGAACCCTAACCCTAGCCCCAAACCTAACTATCACCCTAACCCTCAACCTAGCCCTAGCCCTAACCCTAACCCAAACTGTAGCCCTAACCTCAGCCCTAAACCTAAACCTAACCCTAAACCTTACCCTAACCCCAAAATCAACCACAACTCCAAACCCAACAGAAACCCCAAACCCAACACTAACCCTAAATCCAGCCCTAGATCTAGCCCTAACCCTAGCCATAACCCGAATCCTGGCCCTAGACATATCCCTAACACTAATCCTAACCCTAAACCTAGCTGTAGCATAACCCTAACACTAACCCTAGCCCTAACCCTAACCCTTGCCCTAACTGTACCCCTAACCCTAAGCCTGACCATATCCCTAAGCCTAACCCTAACCCTAGCTGTAGCTCCAACCTTAGCCCTTGTGCTAACTCTAAGCCTAATCCTAACTGCTAACCCTAAACCTAACCCTAACCCTAACCTTAACTCTAGCCCTAACCATAAACCTAACACTACCAGTAGCCCTAGCCAAAGCAATAGCACTAACCCTAAACCTAATGCTAAACTTAACCCTAAGCCTAGCACTAACCCTAAGCCTAGCCCTAATCCTAAACCTAGCCATAACCCTAACCCTAAGCGTAGCCCTAATCCTACCCAGTAACATTATCACTAGCCCTAGGCCTAACCCTAAAACTAACAACAACCCTAACCCTAACACTATCCCTAACCCTCACCCAAGCCCTAGCCATAGCCAGAGCCCTAACTATAATGCTAACCCTATTGCCAGCCCCAATTCTAACACTAGCCCTAACCATAACCCTAGCACTAACCCTAGCTTTGGCCCTAACCCCTAATCATAACCCTAGCCCTAATCCTAGCCCTAACCTTAACCCTAACCATACCCATTGCCATAGCCCTAAGCCTAGTTGTAGCCTGAGCCCTAGCCCTAGAACTAAGCCTAACCCTAACCCTACTCCTAATCCCACCCCTAACCCCAACCCCAACCCTTACCCTAACCCTAACCCTAAATCTAACCCTAGTCTTAACCCTAGCCCTAATACTACCCCTAACCCTGGCCCTAACCAAAATGCTAATCCTAGCCCTAACCCTACCACTAACTATAATCCTAACCTTAACCCCAATCCTAACCTTTAACCTAACCATAGCCCTAGCCCTAGCCCTAACCCTAACCCAACCTCAAATATAACCATAACACTAAACCTAGCCCTAGCCCTAACCCTAAACCT